TTAGGGTCCAAGGAAATCCTCCAAAAGGAATATAGGGACCTCAGCACAACTTATCATAGAAAAATATTGCAGACCTCATCAGTGACAGAGATGAGCAGATTCATTAGGCCAAATAACAGAAGTATGTAATTGTTGGTTGTGATGTAGCATGCCTGTAACATCAGCACTCTGGGAGGCAAAGGCAAGAAAATCACAAAATTTGATTTGCGCCTATCCTGGGTAACTTAGGGACTTAGAGACCCTGGCTCAAAATACAAAGTAAAAACTCAAGTTGGTTGTAACTCATTGAATGGGCCCTGAATTTAATCCTTAGTACAATAAAAAGAAGCAAGAGAAGAAAGGAGGAGGAAAAAGAGGAGGAGGAAGAAAAAGAGAGGGTGGTGAAGGAATAAGAAGAGGAGCAGAAGAGGAAGAAGTGGAGAAAGAAAAAGAAGAGAAAGAGGAAGGGGAAAGAAGGAGGACAGGGTGAGAGGGAAATCAGAAAGGGGGAGGAGAGAAGGAGGGGAGAGGGAAGGGGAAGAGAAGGAGGGAGGAAAGAAGAAGAAGTATGGAAAGAAGAGGAGGAGGAGAAAGGGGAGGAGGAGAAAGAGGAAAAAGAAGAAGGAGGAGGAGGAGGTGGAGGAGGAAGAAGAAGAAGCTCAGAAAGGAGTGCAAGCACTTGAGAGGAGATGCGGTATGAGCTGGGGTTGGGATATGTACCACAAGACAGGTTGGTGCTGGAGGCTGAAGAATTTGTGCTGAAAGCCAAAGGCAAACATTAGAGCTTGTCCAAAGAACACAGAAGCAATCCTTCCTTTTTGTTTCACTTTTATACCATTCTGGTGATATTCTTTGCTATCATGGGTCTTCCACACCCAGAACTATGCTGAGCCAACTTAGTTGGACATTACATACTCCAGTGGACACAGTCAACTATCCCAGGGTATTTCTGTGGTCTTAGAGTATCCTCAAAGTGTATGATCCAGGATGCTTATTTCCCTGAGGTATTTATTGCTTATGTGGTATCTGTTTCTGTAAGGTCAGGCTGCTCATTAGTTGGTTTAAGCATAACTGGCTTTACCAGTGAGGTTAAAACACAGATCATTTGTTCATTTTTGACCACTGGAGACAGCGTATCAAATTAATAGTAGTGTTTCTTTGAGAGTGGAAATCCATGCAACTGATGGACTTGTTGTACCAATATAGATCAAATTGATGGACTTATTGTACCTTTAAGACCCCTGGGAATTTATTTTGAAGAAAAACAAGCCTTTGGGTGAAAAAAGCATTGCAAGTTTGGATAATGTTAACTGTGTTTTGAAGACTCAGTTTTCTTAAAATTATAATTCCTTGGTCTCCTTTCTACCTATTTTGACTTCTGTCTCACCTCAAGATAACATGAAAATGACCTCCATTTTTCCTTGAGTTATTAAAAGTGAAATAGTGGGCATCCACTCAATTATCAAACACAGTAACCAGACAGCAGGCAGGCCCAGGAACTATCTCAGGACACTGAGGCACGTGCACTTGTCCCACACGCATTAAGCATCAGTTTGAGATGAGTTTGTCTGATGTGGACTCAACATTTACAGTCTTTACAGAAGAGATGGTAATTACGCACTGAAGTCAGCCTCCAAGCGTCTGCGTGTGGATGTGTGCCCAAAGGGCTAAGCGGATAAAGTCATCTGAGACTTCACAGGTCATTCAGTCCAATGCATTGCATCACACAGGCCTAAATACCACAATTTCCAGGCAGACAGCAATCCATTCTATTATAAGACTTTCCAAGTAAGTCTGTTTCACAATTTTTCTCACAATTACTCTGGTCTTTCAGCATCACCCATAGTCAGGAGATTTGTTTATGACAAATAAAATACATTTCTAAACACATACTGAGCTCTTATTAAGGATTTAGAAATGTGCTTGTCTCTGTGAGGGGACACCAGCATCGCTAAGTGTGGTTCCTGCCTACTTTCATTCATCAGCTTGCGCTCTCCCACAAATTTTTGTTAATCCTGCTTCATTCAGAATTGACTTTTCCTCTGAGCTCAGATAATGCTGTACTTCATTTGCAAATCTTTACAGCTTTGGTCATGTTCTGCTACTCATTATGGCTGTGGGTTCATTCGTGCACATTATCTCTCAGAATAACATGCCTCTTTAGATGTAAAGTGGAGACACTGGGATCCATTCAAGCATCTGTCCAAGCTTAGGGTTCTTTGTAAAATACTGTGGGGAACCTAATGAGAATGTATGTTTTACTCTTCAATATTCAATACCTTTACTCAGGCAGACAGTTTATCAATAAAATAAATAGTATGTGCTCAAGAAGTGAGTATACTATTACTCACTAGCTCTTACTTGCTGTGGCAAAAAAAAAAAAAGGTTGAAATAATCTAAATAGTTCAATATTATTTGGCACACTTAGAATAATATGCACTTGTTGAAAAGATTTAGGCAGATCTATATGTACTGCTATGGAACAATCTTCAAGATAGAGTGGTAAGTGAAAGCAGTGAGATGCGGAATGATGTATATATTAATACTTGTATTTTAAATTTTATTTATTTATTTATTTATGTGTGTGTGTGTGTGTGTGTGTGTGTGTGTGTGTGGCCAGCTCAGCCCACCAGGGGGGGGGGCTGGCTGGCATGTGGTCCTGGGGGATTGAACCGCGGTCCCTGTGCTTTACTAAGCTTGTTCTAAGTAGGTGCTTTAGACCACTGAGCCATCTCACCAGCCCCAATACTTGTATTTTAAAAGGTTGAGTGCCACATGATGTGTAAATAGAATATTCCTGTGAGAATACAAAAAAAATTGATAAGAGCTAGGGTGGGGACAGGAGGGATTGGGACAGAGGCACTGGTCAGTTGATGAGTAGCTCTTTTGGAATCAAAAGCCCTATATAGGCAGCTTGCTAATTTCTGAGGGGCTGATATCCCCACCAGATCAATTTCAAGCTAAGGACAGTTTAACAATAGGTAAGTTGATATGAGCTAGTTTCAAAGCACACCAATAGGCACAGGGGTGAAGGCTGGTAGAGTTTCCATTGTAGACCCTTCAGTGCAATTCACATTTCTTGTGCTGTATTTGACCACTTAAAATGTAATAACATTTTAAAGTTAAAAAATTGTCATACTGAGGCTCTTATCTTCCTTTAGTCTTTCTCTAAAATAGTGACTTTTGGGGCCAGGGAGATGGCTCAGTGGAATATGCGCTCCCCTGGCAAGCACAAGGGCCTGAGTTCAATCCTGGGTTCCGCCAAAAAAAAAAAGAAAAAGAAAAGAAAAAGAAATAATGACTTTTGACTGTAAGTCTTTTTTCTTGCTGGCACTTACTCTGCTCTCCTGTACTTGTTCAGTGTGCCTGGTATAAACAATGCTCCATATCTGTAGACTCTTCCAGTGCAGGGAAAGGCACTACTGTCCTTAGAATCAAAGCTGCAAAATTATTCAGCCTAGGAAGGACCCAGTGAGCCAGTGGTAAGGTCAGGGCACACAGCTTAGGTGCAAAACCTCAGTTCCTAGTCTCTGTGTAGGCATAGCTCTTTTTCAAGCCAACGAGCCTCACTGGTGGCATGGCTGCTCCTGTCTCAGCAGCCCATCCTAGAGGGATCTGGCTGCAGCAGGATCCCACCATATTCCTCCTTAAGCATACCCTCTCCTGTCAGAATAAGGCCCAGCCAAGAGGGAGAGGAGTTACCAGGCACCACCACCCAAAAGACCTCTTTGCAATTCACTGTAGAAGTCATTTTGCATCAGTCCCCAAGTCTGGTCTTTATGACTGGAGTCCATGTGTTTATGGCTCAACTTTTCCAGTTGTTACTTATGCTTCAAGTTTTGGCTAAAATATTCCTCCCACTAGTTTCTGCCCATAAGCCAACATTTCACCCTACCCTTCTTTACCACTTGTAACACCTTTCACTTTAGTTGTGTAACACCTGTCTTTCCTGGTCAAATGCATATGATGCAGTCTTATTTATGGCATATTCCTAACACCATGCACATTATCCTGCTTATATTAGGCACTCAGTGCACGTCACCTGAAAGAGCAAATTAATGAGTTAGAGTACACTGCTATTAAACATTCATAAGGAAACATCCAGAGAGACTCAATCTTGTGAACATTTTATTTGGAAATATTTTGAGCATTATTTTAATCTTCATTTTCCCTTAAGGCAGTAACATCCTTTTTCCTGAAGGCAGATGGGGGACAATCATCCAGGGCTATATGAAGTTCAGACTAAAGTCAAAGCCAACCACTTTGCATTCAGATGCAGAAATACTGGTTATAAGCTGAAAGGAGCCATATATTAACTTCCTGAGCCCATTGCCAAGGAAAGATCCAGGGCAATGCATTGCAATTGCTTTGAAAAATGGCTAAGCTCCATTACACAGGATCCCTAAGGAAGATATCTCATTAATGAGCCCAGTGACTGTGATACAGGGGGTCTAGTGTTGGTTCCTAAAGCTCTGTTGCTTTTTTAGCCTTTGGTACATTCTTCTAGTTTTGTTTAAAATTCTTTAAATGTTGAGGTAACTGGCTCTTCCTAAAGCAACAAAGGCAGTTCTCATCTAGGATCTATTCATCCTCCCCTTGACTTCTGGCTAGCGGTATGTGGAGATGGGGGCCAGAGTGCTGTTTATTGGCACATATTACCCCCTGGAGCAGAGGGGTGGCAAAAAGCTTTTGCAGTACCCAACAAGGTAAACATTGATCACATTGATCATGCTGGCAGCGATCACATATGCTGATATCAAAGAGCAAATGAAAGCTGAGCAGGACTGCTTCTGAATGTCATCAGATATTTAGCCATATCACAATAATTACATCTAACAAGCAGGGCTAAATATGAAGTACAGTACACAGACAGGCAGCACCACAAAGGACAGGTGCTTAGGGATCGCTCCACACTGCCCCTTAGTGGCCTTCTTTTCCATCACACCTTGCAATCTTCCCGAGTTCCTAATCTACCTGAGGTTATTCAAGGTGCTAGATCTGGTCTGAGTCTAAATTCTAGATTTTTTTTTTTTAAAGGGGCTTCTTAATAGACAAAAAAAGTGAAAACTGATGGCATTTGGGACCTTGGTTCTGAGAAAAGCCCTAGTGTTGAGATTTACTTCTATAGCCATCAGACTCCTGTTTCCTCAACAGCCTGCCTGACTTGTCAGGGTTCCCCAGATGGCCAAGGAGGACCCCAGGGAAAGGTGGGCCACAAAGCAGGCACTGAGAGGTAGTGGGGCAAAGTCACTGGGGGACAAGGCACTGGGAGAAATGGCAGAAGGAGGATTGTGGAAGATTAATTATTGGCCTCAATGAACAGGTGGCAGGACAGGCTCATGGTCCCCTCCTCCTGGTCCTTATGTTGGATAAAGAAAAAAGGTAGCCAGATGCAACCAGCATGAAAGATTAAGTCAAAAATTAACACAGCAGTTTCTATCCTAACTGCAAAAGCAGAAAAAGTGCCTGGAAAATAACTTTAAAATTTTGTTTAGATTTTTCAAAGAAGAAAAAATTAAGAATAATGAATACTTATAGGAGGTAAGGTCTTCTGCAAAAATAAAAATAAGCATTTTCTGTTAATTGCAGGAGAGGCTGGGTGAATGTGCACTCCTTGGAGGGCTGTATAATGTCACCAACTTGCAAACTTTGGAATGGCTTGAATGGTCCTCATCCTGCCTGGGAGCATCCCGTGTGCCACCTCAGGGTTCAGTGTGTTGAAGGCTAGCCTGCCCTTCTGGGCATTACACTCTCTTCATCCCTTTCCCCATGAGGCAAGCAAACACTGTCATGACCATTTTGGGGTTCACTTCAACCAGGTCTTCTGGAAGGGCATACACTCTCGCTCCAATTTTTCTGGCCATAGAGATGGCATACCTAAAAGACAGAAGAGAAGACAAGTGAAGAAGAGCCCATACAGCAGTGCATGAAGTGGCCCTCCCAGGACTGTGGTTACCGTTATCTTGCAATCAGAACAGAGCTCAAGTATAGAGTCACTGGCAACAGCCACCAGCATCTTCCTGAGCTTACAGACACATCTTGGCTCCACAAGGCTTCCAACAAAAGCCATTTAGCTGCATAATAATGACCAGTGGCAGTATTTGTCCTTGAAAACTTCCCCATTTCCTACTATTTTTGATACCCACACCAGGGGTGTTTGTTTTGAGACAGGGTCTTGCTAAGTAGTTCTACATAGCCTTGAACTCATTACATAGCCCAAGGTGACCTCAAACTCTTGGCAATATGCCTGCCTCAGCCTTCCAAGCACTAGGATAACAGGCATGTGCAATCACATCTGGCTGAGAGTATTCTCTTGAGCTACAAAACATGGCAGAAAAAAATTTGAGAGCCAAACAAGAATTTATGCTAGAAAAAGTCTGCAAAATATATTTCAGCCACAGAATCACTTTTATAAGGGAGAGAAAAAATGCACTTATAATTCCTTGTATTATAGGTACCATTCCTTTTATTGCTGTCTTCATTCCAATTTGTACCCACATATACAAGTTTTTACTTCTGGTACTATAGTATCAGAATAGCTATATTTTTGTGTCCCGTATTTTTCACATAAAATTATCATAACTACATTAGAATACTTTTGTTTTACTTATAATTACATAAAGACAATCTTTATCTGTTATAATTCATTTAAAATGAGCCCAAACCACTACCTGGAAGTTCTTTTATTCACTTTGCTTATTCTCTTGCAATCTCTTACTATGGCTACTCTGGAGATTTTTCACCCTGCTGAAGACCCCATTCCTTTCTCCTGCTCTCCTGAAAAACTTGCCTCTTACTTTATTGGTAAAATTAAAGGAAGCTCATGGGGCAGGAATAGTCCCATTCTTTTCCCTTGTCCACTGCTCAGTAACTTCCTCTATGTTGCTTATTAGTGGCGTGATAACAATTTATTACAAAATGTAGAGGAAAACTGTATAAAACTCCATAAGTAAACTTTGAAATAAAATCACATATAGTCAAGATTTTGCGTCTTGCCTTATGGGAGAGTCCATAGAAGCCTAAGGCTTGAAATCAGTCTCTGGATCTCAGCTGCGCAGCTGTTGACCTTGTCAAGTGCCTGAACTCTAACCACACCCCTCTGACCATCAGGGCTTAAGATTTCTTCTTGGTCCTCCTCCTTCTCCTCCTCCTTTATTCTGAACTTTTACATATGTTCTTTGTCTAGAATATTTTCTCTATGTCCTCCACCTGTCAACTTTCCTCTCACTGATCCTCTCAGTCTAGGTTAGTTTAGATGTTATTTGCTCTAGATTTGCTTATGAGTCACATGAATATTCTTGGATTTTGTTTGGCTCTCATTGTAACACAAAGAACTTTGAACTGCTCTTACTCCATATGGAAGATGATGCTGATGAGATGCAAAAGCATGAATAGTGAAAAGAAAGCACCCAATACCATGACCAGTAGATGGTGCAACACCCAGCTGCCAGCTGGGTCTCCCCACTTGACCTCAGGTTTATTTGCTTACTTTGCATTGTTGAGTTTCTCTTCATCATCCAGGTTTTCTGTTTTCAGAAGGTCATAGTTAATGGAACCTGGCTGGATGGCATCAATGAGATCCAGAACAGGAAGACTTGTACTAATTCTTGGGTCCTATGGAGGAAAATGAGGGCTTCTGTCAACTCATCCCAGGGTTATTTCTATTCAGCTCAAGGGGAGAGGGTGGGTCTTTCTTCTTGAAATGTATGCAGCCTATCTGGCAGTGCCACAACATGGCACATGGTATTTCAAACTCTCTGTAGTGAGTTCTGCAGGGCTATTAGTAATTTCAGAAAAAACTTAATCCCAACAGCAGGAGGCATTCACAACTAGTTAGTACAACTAGAGAAAAACACAAAGGTTGAAACATGTCTTTTACCTAATGTTTATACAACAGAATAAATGAAGGAATTGTTTAAAAAGGAAACCATCAAGCTAGGCATGGTGACATATTCCAGTAACCCAGCACTCTGGGAGTCTGAGGCAGGAGGATTGCAAGCTTTGAGCCCAATGTGGGCAGGTTAGTGAGGCTTGTCTCAAAAAAGGGTAAGGGGGCTGGGGATATAGTACAATGCAAAAGACCTGCATTCAGTCTCCTGTACTGCAAAGAAACACACACACACACACACACACACACACACACACCCCTGAAAGAAGAGACCAATGATGTCAGCAAAACCTGCTTCACATGGGGAGCAGCGAGATTGGCAGGGAGAGTGCTGAGGATGGAGGGAACAGGAGAACCAGTAGATGCTCTTCCCTGGAGGCTTAAGGGAAACAGCAATGACAGTGATGTGATTAAAAACACTGACTGGAGCCTCCCCCAAGTGCTGGGATTACAGACATGTGCCACCATGTCCGACTCAACCTGACTTTTAACCCAGGAAAATGTAGTTAAGATGCATGGACACCATTATAATATGGATCTACTATGCCCCTTAAGGAAGAATCCAGCTAAGCTAATGAATGAGTTAAGAATTTTCATCAAACATAAAGCTGCTATTAGTAAAAATAGGTTTTGGATACATAGCACAATTGGTTTTTGAAAGACGTCACATAGGAGATCTTTTAGCATTTTACATTTGTTAGAATGTTAAAAACCTCCCACATTTAAGTGCACACATATTTAAGAAATTGCTCATTTTACTTTGAAAGAACAAGGTCTACAATGATGGGTTTTCAATGATGGGTTTTTAAAATTAAGTATTATGGGAGAATGTGACAAGAAGTTTGTCAGTGAAATGGCCAATGAACATTAAAGTAACGAGTCATTTCAGAAAAACCGAAAAGGAGGCCTTGGCTGTCACACCGAAGGTCATTTAATATGCAGTGAAAGCAATAAAGGTAAGTATAGCGCTCAGATGGCCTGTAAGAGGAGAGCAGAAATCCTACCTTGAAGCTAGAGATGGATGAACTTTTCTCTGCTTCCTTCAGTGTTTCATTCACCCAGTTGACAATAGTGTCATCATTGACCTTCTGTCCACCACCGATATCTTCCAGGATATTCAGTGTGTACCTGAATCAAATCAAGGTGATTTCTGGAGATTAAGTTGCTAATGCATTTAAAAAGGTAGAAATTTTCTTTCCTTTTCTTCCTAGCTATGTCCCAGGGGATCACCTGAACACTGCAGGGGGAAAGGACACATAATCGCACCAGAGGCTTCCATAGTAATTTAAGACGGAAACATATGGTTGTCACAGTGAAAAGCCAAACAAATACCTTCCTCCAAGCACTAGGCAGGAAGAACAAGCAGAACTTTAAAAAAAATATGAGAAATAGAAAATGGAACAAAGGACCTCAATCAGTGATACTGTTCTTAAAAGAACCATAAAAATCAAGAAAAACTCCCATGTTTGAAAAGACCCAGAAATGACAAGATAAAGGGAAAAATATAAAGGAATTTTTATATAAATAAAAATGTTAGGAATACTTTAGCCCAAAGGTAAGATGTACCTTAGACACATACAAATGTTAAGAGTTGGAGATGTCTTAAGAGAACACTTGTTCTCTTAAAGAAGATGCTTGTCTAATGACTCTGGTTAATGATTCCAGAACTATATTGAAGAGGAGTGATAGAGGACATCCTTGTCTTGGACCAGATCTGAGAGTAAAAGATTTCAGTTTTACCCCATTTAAAATTGTGTTAGCCATTGGGTTGACATAGATGGCTTTTATCAGATTGAACTAGAGGCCATCTATTCCAATTTTCTCTAGGACTTTGAACATGAATGAGTGTTGGACTTTGTCAAAAGCCTTTCCTGTATCAGTTGAGATGATCATGTGGTTTTTAGATTTGGCTCTATTGATATAGTGTATTACATTTATAGATCTGCATATATTGAACCATCTTTGCATCCTTGGGATGAATCCTACCTGGTCAAGGTATATGATCTTCTTGGTGATTTGCTGTACACATGGCTGACACTGACAAAGGATCTACAAACTGCATTATAGGGTTTCAAGATAAATCCTGAGGGGATTTGACTAACCTTTTCAGATACAAAAGTTACATTTCTTGTTATATATTTTTTGCTTTATCTTGGTCTTAACCATCCAGCAGGAAAGTATAATCACAAAGTATAAAAAGTAAAGCCATATTAATATGCTGAGCTATAAAAGGCTCAAGTCAACAACTTCTGACATTGCCAGTCCTATCAATAACCCACTACAATCATGGACTACTGGACTATATTGGAATATTTTGCTGAATTCACACACCTACAATATTTAAATGACAATCGAATGCCCTTCTCTGACAAAACTAATTAAAAAAGGGGGATGCAAATGAACGACTATTTTGTATCTGTATACTCAAAATAGTTAGGATAGATATACAACTGCATTCTCTTAATTCAATGAATGGAGAGATTTGTTCCAATAGTGTTTTTGGACCGGATATCATGTCTGCATCTTGTACAATGAATAACCACTAAAACAATATGCAATGTATTAATTATTGAAACTGTCCTACTAATCGGTTTTGAAACCGTCTCATTGCTATTTGTTTCTCAATAAAAAATTTTTTTTTTAAAAAAAGCTAAATGCCAGACAAAAAAAGAAGATGCTTCACATTGCTATAATTCCACAGAGAAGAGCAGAGTCACTCAAGTTACTCCCTTTTGGAAAAGAACAGAGCAGGAGCTGAGCAACAGGTGGGTTTGTTGATTTCCTAGTTGAGGTTTGGGAGCTGTCAAATTCCTCATGAAAGACCTCCCAGGACAACACAGTGACAGTGTGCTATTTTCAGACTGAAACTTAGGAGACCCATGACTGGATGTCCTCTGAAAGGGCCCGACCTAAATGAGGTCACCCCCATGTGGGGCCCTCACGAATTTGCCTACATAGTCCAGTGCCAATCTTTCTCCAGTTACCGTCTCTACACAAAGACCAATTCTCCTGTGATTTTCCACACAGATGTCAAATTTAATTCTTGAGATAAGAACAGTGTCACACTTCTTTTGCATTAAAAGAACTCCCCAGGATTGTATGCAAAGAGCAAGATAATCTCTGCAACATTTTTCATGAAAAAAAAAAATCACATTTACTAAACAAGTCCTGGGCTGAGTGTGGTAGTACAAGCCTGTAATCTTGGCACTTGGGAGGTTAAGGCAAGAGGATCCCCTTGAATTTGAGGTCAGCCTGGACTACATAGTGAGACCTTGCCTCAAAAAACCAAAACTAAAACCAAAATAAATGAGTACTTACATCTGCTCAGTGATCCCTCTCAAATCTCTCCCAAATCAACTGATTTTCTCTTCAATCTGTTTTTTTCCTCCTTACAGAATTTTCTTTCCACAATATAACTACGGCTATATCATTTGAAGTGACTCTCCATGACCCAAAGAACACAGGTCAAACTCCTTCACGTGGCTTATAAACCCTTCACAATTGGGCTCTGCTGTCCTTTTTTTTTTTTTTTTACACACTGAGAATTTTCTTCTTTCCTCTCCTCTTCTTCATTTAATGTCTCTGTCTGTCTCTGTCTATCTATCAGACTCTCTCCCTCCCTCTCTCTTTCTTGCTCTCTCTCTCTCACATTTCAACCACACAGAACCATCAAGAGCTCAACCCCACTATACATCTTCCTGCCTCCTGCTTCTAGGACTTAACTATGCTTATTTCCTGGAATGTCCTTGCCACCAATGGATTTCTAATCTTCTGAGTAATTCTCAGCTCAAGCAGTACATTAATAATAATAATAATTAATTAATTAACTTTAAAACCCTTTCCCACAATTTCTGCCAGAGATGATGTCTACTCTGTCCCCTTGAGCAAAGTCCAGGAACCCTGTTCTTCATGGTGTTTTCAGGGGTTAGCACAGCATCTAGTAAATGCTGGGCATTTCAAGGGTAAGTGGTGGGTGAAACAAATAGAGTGACTTTCTCCCAGGGAAAACAAGGAAACAATGAAGAGAGAAAATGCTTAGTTTGAGCAGAAAGAAAGATGGAACCAAAATGCTAAGGAATAATAAAGCATACAAGATAAATATCCTGGGCAGATTTAAAAAATATTCCTAGATTGAAAAATAGCTGTCTTTGGTTTGTTCATAAAGATATGTTTTATGCATAATTGGTCTCTGGTTTCCTGATAGCTAGTATATGCATTAAGTTATTAGCAGTTAGCATAGATTTAAGAATTTTAGCCCAGTGAACCATTCAGGAAAAAAAAATTGCAGGTCAGTGCTTACTTCATTAGATTTTCTATACATATAACCTAATGGAACAAGCTAAATGGAATCCCCTCTCATCAGGAGTTCCAGCTCTCCTTTGCTCAAACTGAAGCCAGTTTCCCAGCCCTCTCTTGTATTTGGAAACTAAATGGTACAGGGGACACTCCCACCTGTACACAAAAGTATGCCGGCAAAAATAAAAAGCCACCTAGGAACAGAGACCCGAAGAAAGTGTTGAATATTCTAGAGGCAGCTATCATGCTTTCTGGGTTTCAAGAACAGTCCCTTATGTGCCACAGAATTTTGGTGAGCACAGAACACCTCAGGTGAGACAGAAGTTTAAAATGAAAGCACACACATTTGTGAGAGTAGTAATGAATGTAAAGGGAAGAAAGAATAGAAGGAGGCTAGAGTCTCAATTCTACAGATTTCATTAAGCAGCTATTCATCTACAGGCAGATTAGTAATGTAACTCATTGCTTTTTTTTTTTTTTTTTTTTTGGCAGAACTGGGGATTGAGCTCAGGCCCTTGCTCTTGCCAGGGAAGCGCTTATTCTACTGAGCTATCTCCCCGGCCCTAATTGCTAAATTTTGTAAGCAAAACTAATTTGGACTATGTCCATCAAGATTTTTCCTTGTGAGTTAATTAACCCTTATTGTCAAACATTTTGGGGGGCAACTGCGCTCTTGGGTGGAATCCTTCCACCTAGATCTCAGTATAACTGGTGCTTGCACAATGCACTATGCTGAGAACGTGAAACAGCACTGTATGCCCCAGCCTTAGCCCATCCCTCATTCAACAAAAGAGGATGAATAAGGTGTGGATGCGAGGGGCCAGCAGGTGTGATGACTGCCTGCTCACTTCCCTGCCTTCTAACACTTGTTTTATTTATTTAACATTCAGCACAGAGGGACAAACCTCAGTGTTTCGTTTATCAAAGATTTCACCATCCACAGCCCATGTGATTACAGGGAGTTAACTTGTTTGCCTGCTTCAGATTCTGCTCATTTGCTTGACTAACAATTATTGCCATCTGCTGACAGCCTACTTGTTTCAGGCTTTTGTCTCCAAATTTATACACACAAACTAGTTGCCAGCTGTCCAACCTGAGAACAATTTCCATGAGATGAAGGGAAAAGGAAGCCTTAAGCATGCATCTCTCCTTTGTTCTTGAGGGGAAAATGACATGCCATTTATTGTCCAGATAAATGATCAAATTAGCACACTGGTGCAGTCCAATGAAATAAATTCCAGCTAGAGTTGATGTCAATTTTATAGGTCGTTAATATTTCCATGCAGAGAAAAGAAAATAGAAAGAAATGAAAAAAAAATCCCTTCTGGAGCCATTTACATAATTACCACTCATTTCTTCTTCAACAGTCACACATTTCTCTTCCATGTACAAACCTTATGTAGTAAACATTCATGAAAAATAAGATTTATTAATCATGTAAAGTCCTAGAACTTATCAAATATAAAAATACATACCAGCTCTCAGGTAGTACTTTGGATCATTTTATAAAATTTCCAGAACAAAGATCAAGTTACAAGGAGATCTTTTTAATTTTTTCTCTTCTTTTTTTTACAAGGTAATTTTTAGATATTATGAAATTTAAAACAGAAAAGATTGGGTCTGAATTTTTCATCATTAAAATAAAATATGTCAAAGACTATGTTGTGCTGTAATCCACAAATGAGTTTAAGTGTTATGACAAAAAGGACATTCACTTTCCAAAGTGTGTGGTGACACACGCCTGCCTTGGGAGGCTGAGACTGGAGGATCACCATGAGTTTGAGGCCAGCCTGGGCTACGCAGTGAGTTCAAGGCTGGCCTGTACTATGCAGTGAGACCTTGCCTCAAAAACTAAATAACTAACTGGATAAATAAATAAGACATTCACTCTTATTTTTAAAGGAATTAGTACCAAAAGGCAAACTAATCTACTTGGAATTAAAGAAACTTGTAAAAGAAAATGAAGATCGTTTTTGGAAATGCGGGACTCACTCTTAGGATTTTTCAGTGATTCCCTAAATATATGTAGTAAAACGGAAAATAGAGTTGAGTTCATTAGATCTGGAGCTTTCTTTCTGGGGGACTTCACATGTCTGCCTTCCATCATTAAGGAGACCTTGGCTTTAACATAGATGAAAGAGCTCTGTATTTGATAAATAAAGCAAATGTGAGTCAGGTACTAAAATCAATTGTGCTCACTGCTGATTCTCCTACACCATCTGGAAACACTGACATAATTACATCAAGAACCAGTCATAAAAACTGGGATCTGCAGACAGCGTGAGTAAAGCTAAAGTGTCTTAGGAACTACAGAGACATGTTGCTAGACAGAATGTCATGTAACATGTACTTTGCGGGGGCTTTCTTCTGGGTAGAAAAGTATGGTCAAGCTAACATAGGGTGTAAGTGGGCAATGTCAGACTTCCACCTGTTCAGATAAATTGGTGTAGAGATGAAAAGTAAAGCACATACAAGTAAACTGTTTTATAGTTACAGAGTTGTTTGAAATCCTTCCTAGGCACATGACTTCATACTCAGATTATTTATTATAATCTATTTTCTATTTGTATATCTTATGATATTTTATTATTTAATAACTAATATCACCAACAGGCCTCACATTAATCAAGTTTGTATTTAGCTCCTAAAGGCATCTAATGTCCCCTGTTATAGTGATCTTTATGAAAGTTCTTTAATAAAGGCATTTCTAAATAGAGAATATTTAACAGACTTGTGCTTCTGGGCATGATGGAGTAAAAGGACCTAAAACTCTAATTCACAATGAGAAGCATACAAAACAAAGTTGTCTGGACATTGGACAACAGGTAGCACAGCACAGTGGTCCCTAGAAAAAGGAAAAAAAGGAAGATGTGCTCTGAGACCACCCCAGCAGGCAGTTTCCAGCCTGCAGCACAAAGAGGCAAAACCCCACAGGGCAGAGCCATCTCCCTGAGTGCAGGCGATGGGTGGAGAATTCTAGGAAGTCACACTGTGTGACCTTCACTGAACAGAAGAGTGGAGAGGAGAAAACTTCTGGAGACAAGAGCGTCCTTGAGAAAGAGACCCCTAGAGATCCTCAGTCATTTTCTTCAAATCTTTAGCTGATTCCTGCTTAATGTGTGCATGTGAATGAAGTGCCAGAGGCAATGAGACAAAACACCAGAAACAAGCAAGTAGACAGGTCCTTGGTGGTCTCGCTGGACTAGAAACATTTGGTTCCCCCCATTTGGAGTGGAAAGCTTTCCGAACACATGGAACATCATGCAAAGTACTCAGAATATATTATTTCAATAATAAAAAACAAAATGAGCTCTAGGCTAATTAAACTCAAAAGATAAAAATAATTTAAGTAACCTAACTCGGTCCCAAACAAAGTTCAACAAGACTGAAAGACATATACAATATCCATTACACAGCAAGGAAAAATTTACAAAAAAAGCAGCATGTAACAGAAGTCAGAATACATGCCATATTGAAGACAAAAATTCAGTAGAAATAGAATGGGGAATAACAGTTATCATAGTTTTATTCTATATGTCAAGAAGGGTAGAGGAAAGAAGACACATGGAAAAAGACTCAAAATTTATAGACATGCAATTATACAGAAAAAATATATACCCTGGATGGGATTAATAGGATATAAAACATGGGTGAGGGAGAGAGATTAGTGACGTAAAGACATAGCCACACATATACAAAATGAAATATTGAGAGAAGAATGAAACAGAGAGGAAATAAAAGAATATAGCATGAGTAAATCCAGGGACCAGTTCAAATGACCACATGTATATGGACTTGGTATTGCAAAAATAGGAATGGGTAGACATAGAAGATGCATTTGAAAAAATAAATGCCAGAAATTTCTCCATTTGACAAAGTTTAAACCCCCAGATCCAATAAATTGAACAAACGTGCAGCATAATCAAATAGTTTACAGCCACTTATAAAGAGAAATCTTAAAAGCAGCCAGAGAAAGAAGACACTACACAAAAGAGCAAAAAGAGTGACAGCAGATTTTGAATCAAATCTAGGGCCATACCACCCTGAACATGCCTGATCTCATCTGATCTCAGAAGCTAAGCAGGGCTGGGCCTGGTTAGTACTTGGATGGGAGGTTTGAATCAGAACCATCTCTAAAGTCCTGGAGAAAAAAAACAAAACAAAGCAACCCACTAGCCTAGAATTTTGTACAAAAATAAAAATGAAAGATCTTTCTGGCATATAGAAGCTGAAAGAATTCATCATCAACAGACTTGTTCTATATGAAATATTTCAGGTAGAAGGAATATGATGTCAGATGTAAATCTTAATCTGTACAATGGAAGGACGAACACTAGAAGTGGTGAATTATGTAGGAATATACACATCATTTCCCATGTTTTTCAAGCCCCTTTAAAAGTAATTGCTACTTACACAAATCAGTTAAAAGTAAAAGGGTAGAGAAAGACATAGCATGCTAACCACCAGTGAAAACTAAACAGTGGTAAATATATTAATTAAGAAAAAGTAAATCTCAGCGGACTAAGCGCACTGGGCTGGCGAACGAGTCTGGACATGGTGGCGCATGCCTGTAATCTCAGTGCTGGGGAGGCTGAAAACAGGAGAATCACTATGAGTCTGAGCTGCGTAGTAAGATCCTGTACCAAATACATAAATAAAAAAAAAAAAGAAAGAAAAAGAAAAAGTAAATTTCAAAGAAAAGAATATCACCAGCCATAAAGTGCCACTCTATAATGATGGCATGACTCATTAAAATGAAACAATAATCCAAAATGTGTATGAAACTCATGACACATTTAATCTTTTTTTTTTTTTTTTTAGAACTGGGTATTGAACTCAGGCCCTTGAACTTGCCAGGGAAGTACTTATTCTACTGAGCCATCTCCTCAGCCCCTCATAGCACATTTATAAAAATACCAGAAATAAAATAGTAGAATTTAAAAGACAAAAAGAAAATTAAATAAAGAAAACAAAATGAAAAGGACTTCTTTGTTAGTAAGTTTAGCTTAAAACAAAATTTTGGATATGGTGGCTTAATTTAATCACATTCCCCAAAATTTAACAGTATATTTCTAGGCAAAGAAGACAGTCAATAAAAAGTTCATTCTCCTGAGTTGTACTACCTTCTCATTAGTTGCCACACCAAGGCCAATGTCAGAGTGCGGTTTCCTTCATTGAGATCTTGTCCAGCAATGCCGACTAAGGAAAACTTAGCTTGATTCTTCCCCAGCTCCACTGCATAATTACAATTCTCAAGCTATTGAAGAGCAAAAGGAAAACGATTTCATGTCATCACTTTGACTATGATAAGCACCAAATTAATTAATAAAAATAAAACTAAAAAAAATAAGGTTAGATTGAATGATTCTCAAGCCTCAACTAGTTCTGCAATTCTGGGATTCTGAACTAGATAAAGGAGGATTTTCCATGTGTCCTCAGCTAGAACCCCTTACTTTCATCCAAAATATTTATAGTGCACTCTTAAGGGCAAAACTAGAATGAATGACTATTATGAATATTTTCATAGCTATACATATTACACAAATAGGCAGTAATCCTCAGGTACCTGTCTGCAATATTTCTGAAAGGGCTGAATTCATGGAGGTGGACATGGAAAATTTGGATTCGCCATCTTCCATATACACACACAGCAGATGAACATAAAGGTCAGAGATTCCTGCAGCTACTTGTGGATCATTAAGGGTCACCCAGGTGGGAAATAGTGAGAAAGGGTTATGCCAACCCTGCTGTTGCAAAACAGTGTTGCCACTGTGTTGACAACAGACCAACTATTTGTACTAGTCAAGCTGTTAGTACAAAGCTCCAATTCTTTAGAAAATTAGAATGAGGATCCTGCTGGGAGGAAAAAACCCTGCAGCTCGGCTTGCTCTAATTATCTTAATTAGAATTTGCATCATAATGTTTAAAGACATCCAACATGGAATTATAAATAAGAAATAATGGGCTCGCTTTAACAAACTATTTAGGTTTTTGACTGCTGTACCATAATTTAATCCCTGGATAAACATTACTTATCTAAGTTTGACTGCCTGATAAAGTATTCACAGAATCTCTTGCAGGTCTATAACTTCATTTGCCTCTCAGAATATCAAAATAGTCCTTGTTTACCTTCTTCATATTGCCCCCAAGCTTAGGGTATGGTGGTTTGTTTACTCTGTTCCAGTCAACAGGGACTTTAATCTTTTCGTAGAGCTGGAAGATGACCAGGGCATCTGATAAGTCACTAAACAAAACAAACAAAAGAATATTCAGATATCCAATATTTTATTCAGGGGCTACAGCGGGCCAGGCACTTCCTTATATATTACCTCTGAGAACAATCACAATAACCGTGCTGAAGTGATAGGAGTTGCTCCATCTTTAGGGAAGAAGAAATTACGATGTAGAGGAACTGGGGAACTTACTTGCCCCAGATGTGCTGAGCCGTCCGGGAAAAGAGGCGTGGCTTTCACAAATAGCATAGGAGACATTTATCTGCTAAGTTAAAACTAATTTTTGTCTTGCCTGCTTGTAAGAAGATGATAGGCTTAGCACCTATGGTAAATTTGTCATTTTGCTAAAGTAAACACAGTAAGGCTGTTACCTAGAGAGGAGTTTTCCAGGGAAACATCCAACACCTTTCTCCCTCCTTAAGCGACACATACACATTTGAGGATGGATGGCTCCCACAATAGTATTTGAAATTCTATGGTCTTTGAGGTCTCTATATCTCACACCAGGAGTGAATTTCTGGCTGTTCTTACCTGTACAAATGATTTACTCGTGGGTTAATGCCCAGTGAGTTCATCCAGTTCCTAAACGTCCGTTCTTCTCTTGTCTCACCTAGATGAATAAAGACTGGTTATCTTTCAGATGCCTAGAAAATAGGTCATTTTCACTAACTTTTAACACAAAAGGCTTCAATAAATACTGAAGGTAAAATGAAAATAATAAAATAGTGGATGTGAGGGCCAGTGACTAAGCACCTACTTAGGCAAGCACAGGGACCAGGGTTTGATTCCCAGCACCCCATGCTACATGGGCCTTGCACCCCAGGCATGCTGAGCCAGCCCCCAAGACTGGGCATGGTGGTGCACGCCTATAATTCCAACTCTGGGGAGGCTGAAACAGGAGGATCACTACAAGTCTGAGCTGCATAGTGAGACCCTGTACAAAATACATAAAAACAAAATAAAATAGTAGATGAGGGTTCCTGTTCTGTGTTAACCTCCACTACCTCATTTCAATTCAACAAGTATTGCTGTAGCTTTTATTAGTATATGAAAGATCCTTTGTAGAGTAACTGGCTAGAGTTGGCCTCAAAGATTGATAGCCTTGCTGGAAAAATGACTTGAGCACCAAAAAAACCCCACAGAATCTGGAGAAATAGTAGGAGGAAGATATCTTAGTTATTCAAGTTGAGACAAAAGAAAAGTAGTATGACTGAATTTAGAGGTGGAATTTGAGCTTCACTTAAAGGGCTAATTAAAGCTACATATTAATGAGGAAAAAGTAGGGGATTTGGAGTAAATATAAACACAGAAGAAGCAACAGACAATTCTCTAGCAAGAGCACCAGGAACTGATTACACAGGGAGCTGCAAAACAGAGTGTGCAGAGATAAAGCTGTCTAGAGGCTGAAAACAGAGCTGGGGATCTTTGAATGCTGACAGCAGATTTGGGTTGATCTATTAGACAATGCTCACCATCATGGGTTCTTTTTTATTACTATAATAAATTCTTCAGCAAGGCAGATATATAATGAAAATTATATTTGGATGCACTTGGCATCAGTGTGCAGAATTACTGAAAGGTGATAGGCATTTAAATAGACATGCAAGGCTGGGGAGATAGCTCAGTGGCTTAAGTGCCTGCCTGACAAGCACAAGGTCCTGAGTTTGAGTCCCAATTAAAAAAAAAATAAGCATGCAGAGGGGATAGTGTTTGGAACTAGCATGTGGAGGACATTCAAGTGTTTGATAAATGAAAGAACAGGCTCCTAAGATCTATTAAAATAATTGGTGTAAAAAAATAATTGTTGTAGGAGATAATATGAGTTCAGAAGAGAAGAAAGAAGGAAAATAACAAGCCAGAAGACATTCTAAATGAAGAAGTATCAATATTTGTTGATTTAATAGATTAAAGGGTGAAAGAGACAAATATAGAGTGGAACGCAAGGTCTTCAGTTCTGATGACTAAAGAAAAACAAATGTTACTAAAGAAAATAGAATATTTCTAAAAGGCAGCAGATGCAGTGGGAGGTAGGATACAAAAGCAACAGGGGGCAGGGGACAGCTAAGGATCAAATGTTGGTGTTCTAAAGGGCAGCGAGAAACGGTGATGAGTGCGCTTGATATATAGTTTTGAGATCAACCAAGTGAATAGAGCCCTGACCATGACTTGTCAAATGATGAAAGGCAGCAGTGTTGGACAGAGATTGATATTGCATTTCCAGCTAGAGAAATGTATTTTGGAAAAGAATCAATCAATATTTAAACTTAGATTTCCTTGCTTTTGTGATGTTCATTTAAAAGTGATTTTTACTATTTCTTGTTTTAATTTGGACATTTTAAAAAACTAAGGAAACATTTTTGGCACTTTTGTTGGAAGAAACTGACTACATGTAGGTGGTCTTTGTCCAATCTTAGGCTTTTAATCTAAGATATAACTGTCAAGATTCTGTCTCAAAATATTTTTTTCTCTAAGAATCCAATCAAAGAAACAAGGCAAAAATGAAAACCTCAGTAGGTATATTCTAGCATAAGATAAATACCATCTTTAGATATCTAGTGAGTGGAGATCATTTCTTGCCTCTAGAAATGAGCAGAATGTATAAATTCCCTAAATTAGGGTTTTAAAGCTCAAGATTTATTTCATCCAATAATTAAATGCTCTGTCTTCTCTAAAACATTTAAATTCTAATAACAGATGAAGCCTATGCATGTGGTATAATTGTATTTATTCTTCTTCTTTGACTAATTGACTTAGCCAATTTATTTATTCTCTTTGTTGTATATCAGAGAATTGATGGGTTGTTTACACATATGAGGGGTTTACATTTTGCTCAGGAGGAAATTTTGAATGGCCATTGAATTAGTTTTGAGTACCTTTCCAAACATTTTAAGCTGCTGGTTTACTGTTACCTTCAAGAGCCCCCCAGTCGATGTCCTGGTTCTCCGGTTTGTGCAGGGCCGGATATTTGTTAAAGAGGTTGGCAATGAAAGCCAGGTTCAGCTTGGGGTTTCCCCGGACAACATCTGTGGCTGTGACAAACTGTCGGCAGCCCAGTCTCTCTGCCTGCTGTAACATGCATTCTGCCCTCTGGATGTCGTCCTTCTCCTGCAATGACAAAGAACGTGTCAAGGCCGGGCCAATGTCCCAAGCACAGTGAGGATGTGTGGTACATGAAATGGAAACCTCACTGACACCTTGGAGCTCACCTCAGGGGGACACTTAACCACAGCATGTTATTGTGCACGTGCACCTGCACCCCCACTGGAAGATCGCAAGTAAGAGGTGTCTCAGAGGTCAGGTAACTAAGACTTCTCACCTCTGTCTAGAATCATTGCAGATGAGTGGATGGTTGGCCACTCTGTTTGTAAAGAAATTCAGTAAATTCTGCAATCTTTTATTTTACATTTATTTTAATTATCTTTAGCCATCAAGCCTCCTTTATATTATTTTCTTGCACAGACTTCATGAGTTTTTTCTATTGAAAAGTTTAATAATTCATACCTATTTCTAAGTCACAAAAAATACCCGCCAACTTTAGTAAGAACTGTCAAAATCTGATTATATAATTACATATCCTGTATTGAACTGGTGTACTTGGAAACCAGACAAAACAAATATCAGCTAACCTAGATCTTGTCGCTGATACATAATATCAACATACAATATCAACTTGGCTTTTTTAGACTTCAGGTTGAGACCCACTCTACATATTCAAATGATTCCAGAGACTCTCAAGTCCTTAGTAAGTAAACTTTTATAAGAAGACTAAAATTTTGTTGAAATATTTCCCACTTTTTATAAAGTCTAAAAAACTACAATGTACAAAAAACAGAATTTAAAACTAGATCTCTTAAGTTGATATTTCATAGATAATACTGTACATTATATACCTGATGGCTCTTCTATCTTCATTTCCCATTTACGAAGAAGTTAACTTCAATATTACACCCTTGGATTTAATTACAATGATATTAAATAAATGAAGCACAAGAATTGACAAGGTGAATTCTTAAGATCACTGTCACAGGTATAGCAACAAAACTGAAAAATATACTCTTTTTAAAAAAATGTATTTAGGACAGGGGCTCCAGGGGCTCCAGGGGCTCCAGGATCTACAGGGTCTACAGGGGCTGCAGGGGCTGCAGGGGCTGCAGGGGCTCCAGGGGTTGCAGGGGCTCCAGGGGCTCCAGGGGCTGCAGGGGCTCCAGGGGCTCCAGGGGTTGCAGGGGCTCCAGGGGCTCCAGGGGTTGCAGGGGCTCCAGGGGCTCCAGGGGCTCCAGGGGCTCACTACGTAGATTGGACTTGTAGTAATTCTCCTGTTTTCAGCCTCCCAACCACTGGGATTACAGGCATGCACCACCATGCCCAGTCTCAATCACCATCTCAGCGTGCCCTGGGGTGAGGCCAGCATGGCAGGCTGGGAACTGAACGCTGGCAGCTGCGCTCTGCCTAAGTAGGTGCTTTACTGCACTGAGCTATCTGGTGGGCCTGAAAAATATATTCTTGATTTAACCATTACCCATGGATACATGATCAAAATGTTACCTTGTGCTCCATAAATTAATCTAGTTATTGAATATCCACTAAAAGTAAAACAAAACTGAAAATTTAAAATCCTTAAGTTTTAATATTGAGATCCAGTTGGTTTTGAAATGATGGGCATATAAATAAGTGCCTAGCATGGCAGATGGCACTGAATTAGCATTTGTGTGTTTCCAGATTCACTTTTCCACAGTTACCATAAAACTATTAAGAGTTTTTTAACAGTGTCACTGGGATTTGAGCAGAACTCCAGAGCAGGCTCATGCAGAACAATGGAACAACCAACACAACGGCTGTGTCCTGTTCTCTAAGCACAGTCTGGCGCATCCTTACCCTTAGTCCTGACATGTCAATAACCACAGCAGGGATACCTTCTTCGTCTCCTTTTGGGGCCACCTGCTCAAGCAGGTGGTAATAAGCTTTTGAGTCCTGAAAAAATTAAGAAACAACAATTGCAAAACGGCACGGCTAATTACGTACTTAGCATGACAATAATTTCCCCGAAGCAAATATTTTATTTCTTATTCCACTGTCATTGAGGAAATGTAACTTAATGAACAAAGCTAGAAGAATTTGCTAATTTGGATGTTCTGTTTGGCTGGTTATACACATTATTTGATTTTTCTTCTTAATGGAATTTAACAATTGAAAATACAAGACACACAGAAGGCAACGCAAAGAAGCATGCAGTATCGTGTTATCCTAATGGGAGAAAAGCAACTTATGTATTTAATTGTATACAGAAAAATATATATAATTTTATACTGCTTTAGGAGTCAGTCAGCTATGGTTTAATTTTTAAAAAAGTGATAGAAAAGGAAAGCAGAAGTTCAAAGCAGAGTCTAAAAACATATTTAAATGCATAATCAGCAAAAGAAAAAAAATATTTCAGACTGAAGGCTGAGGCTTGAACACGTTTTCATACACGGAAAAATATAACAGTAACGGGTATATTTAAAGCTCCTCTAGAAACTGGAACAATGTGTAAATTTAGCTATAACATATTGGCTATAGGTATTGACTCCTTATACTTTTCTTAGATTCTGTGTGACTGAAGGGTACTCCAAGGTGCCAGCTGTTCGGACACACCTGACAGCAAAGCCCTCTGCTGCTTCTTGAGGCCAGGGGCAGTCACTGTGCAAGCACCCAGCTTGCTTGGCTTTTAGTGATAGGAACCCAGGTAAGTGGACAGCCAAGATCACAGATCTTAATCCTGGCTCAAAAGATTTCCAGAAACCACAGACTTTGACGCTGTGAAACCCATTTTGGTTGTGCTGCTAGAAGAATGTTGACAAGCAATGTAAGTTCTACAGCTAGAAACATTGCGTTAGCTGAGATCATAAACAATGGGGGACTTTCCACTTAGAAGCTTTCCCCTAACTGTCCCTGTGCCTGGAGGCCCTGAATTGTAGACACCAACAAGTTTCCCTTGCCCAGCAGCAGGACTCTGCTACCCAAAGAGTCTGGTTTCTTGACTGGTCACATGATCTTTCCCCTGCCTTTCTCTCTCCAGAGAAGGTTTTCATTAACTTGTAGGGAAGGAGTAACTGAAACACTTTCCTCATTTTGAGTCCTAGCCTCTCATGTGCATTCCTATGGTGACATCTTCTGAACTCTCTTGAACTGCTCCTTCAGCTCTGTATGTTGTGGCACCTGTTACTGATGCCAAGCGCAGTTTCCTCTCACTTTGGCATGGAACCTTTCTAAAACTTGAAAACTGTAGTGTATGCTTTCTTCAGCCTGACCCTTGTGAAACTTTTTACCTCAGTTTCTTTATAAAATGGGAGGATAATAGGCCTTACTTCAGGGGCATCTTGTGAGAATTAAATGAATCAATGTCATTCTCACTTAATTTTTATAAAAAGGATACCCATTGCCACAAGATGCTCCCCTTAAAAGTCTTAGCTCTCTGTCTTACCCTGATAATCAAGCCTCAAGCCAGACTCCTCCCTCAGAGGCGGCACTAAGCCCCTGGGCTGATGGTGTGCATGACCCAGAACTAGAGCAGCAGACAGACCCTTGAGGACAGTGAGCAGCTCCAAAACAGGACCACACGAACCCTAGAGCTTCTGAAGACACGAAGTTCAGTGTCTGTGTTTTCCCTAACACTCAATTTCCCTTTCCTGCCAGTTAGTCAGGTTCAAACCACACTCCTCCTACCTTGATGTCAGTGCTGAAGTTGCTGATTTTGTTGCAGCCTGCAGTTTCCAAGTGGTAATTAGCCCACCTCAGCAGGAGGTCTTCTGGTGAGAGCTTCATCAAGTCCTCCAGGCTCTCTCCTTCTCTCAGAAGAGCAATCAGAGCTGAGGAAGCACAAAACCCAAAGCAAAGTAAACTCAAGGGATGTTTGGGGGGATTCATCTTGACTGACATAGTTCTGTTGCAAAACAAAAGACAGCAGCATTATCTCTCTGGGGCAAATGTGCTAATAACCTTTCCCACAGAACAAACATTCTAGTATTTTTTCCTAAAAGAAGTTTGGACTATTGTGAGTGCACTTTCTATCTCCATTTTCTAAATGGAGAAGACAAGAATCCAGTGAATCTCAGTGATATGGCTGAGGACACAACTAAGAGAATGACCTAGATGATTACCCAGAATGCTCTGCCAGATCCGTAAAATCACATTTCATGACTTGACCACACTTCTGCTCTTAAGAGATCAATTTTGTAATAAATATAGTGTTCTCTTGGCTCATCCCATAGGTGTTTTATATTTCAAATTTTACCCTGCATAATTATAGCAACTCAACACTGTGTTCAGTTCTCTGTTTCCTCAGATAAATATTTTTTGCTCAGATAGAAGGTTTAAATTTAGCTGATTTGAATTTGCAAATCAATATTCTCTTTCCTGGCTTTAAGATCACTATTTGCTTTTGTATATTATGATTAATATATTGGTTTTGAAGTGAATTCCTCATTGTCTATTGTGATTTGAGCATATAAATAAAAATATGTATAACTGAAGGTTAAGATTTGGTTACATATTTCGTTTTGGTAAAGGGTAACATGGTTTCTGTGGGACTTAGCTATGTCTATCTACTATCTCTAGTTAAGCAACTGTGGAACCTCTACTTAAATATAGACAGTATGGTAAGAGAAGACAAAGGCTGCCGGCTGCATCTTTAGTTCAGAATTTCAAAACCCCAAGTGTAATTTTTTATAGTCTTTTTCCAATTTTTCTATTTACTGTGTATATTTAAGATATATAACATACTGTCTTCATATACTTATCTTGCATAGCAAAATGATTACTGTAGTCAAGCAAATTAACATCCAATTGTCTCATATAGTTAACTTTCATATCCTTTTCTTTGGGTGGTAAGTACCTAAATAATTACTTTATTGGAAAATTGTCAACATATAATTAACTATACCCATCATTATGTACATTATCTCTCTAATTTTATTATCCCACATAAATGCAATTTTGTACTCTGACCTGTATCTTCCTCTGTAGTCTACATGAGAAATAGACTATGTTTCTTCCAAACTGGGGCTTATTCTAAGTATGTAGATGTGACTAGGCTCCCAAACTCTAAGTTAAAACTAGCATTGCTTGCTAGGAAATGTCTGAAAAGCAAAGTGAGCTCTAAAAGAAAGTTTTCAAGGTTGAAGTCCTAGACAGACTGAGTTATATGCCCTAACCAAGCACTTATTATTAGTCTGTGGTCTTAAAAACTTTTTGTCTGTCATTTTTTTAATTGATTAAGCTTATTGGTACATTTTAGGTATACATAATGATCATATTCATCATAAGGAATTTGTACCTGTACATAGTATAATTTGATTCTGTTTTTATTCCCATTCTCTTGCCCTCCCTTCAATCCACCTTCCCCTTTTTATTTACAAATAGACACACAATGATGCTGTATCTTTTTTTTAAAGTCCGGTCACTCAGCATAGAATCTGTTACATTAATATCATGGACTCAGTACAAATGTGCAGTTCTTGAGACTTCCTGACATCTCCGCCCACCTCCAGGCCCTAACACAGGCATTAGGAAGCCATGCCTCTCACAGCTTTGAGGCTTTGGGCTTACCTTCATTTCTGCTTAGTTCAATGTCAGCAAACAACCCAATCTTGATGACTTGCCACAAAAGTCCCAGGACCAGATATGGCTTCCCCTCCTTCAGGTCCTCCGCCCCTATGTTAACCACGTGGCACCCAATGGCTGATGCAGAGTTCAGAGCCAAGTTCAAATTTTCCTGAGGGAGGAAAGTATGTAACTTTGGGTCTGTCACTTTGCAGATACCAAATGATGACTGCTAGTTGGAACAGCAATGTTTTCCTTGTGGAATGTTCACAGGCCTAAATGTTCACTAGTTTTAACATTGAAGGAAAATAGTGGAACATATCATGCTAAGAAGAGAAAATCCAGTAACCGAGGCACAGAACTTATGCAATCACCATGTGGTCAAATCCACACTGAGTGAAAGTCCCTTCATGGTCAGCAGAAAATTAATGAATCATTTCTTTGTTTATCTTGCATGTAAAGAAGACTACACACTAAACGTCTCCATTAGTCAGAAAGAAAGGGGCACCTTTGAGGGATGTCATTGCCCTGTCACAGGCTATTGCTAATAAGATGACTATTTGTATAAATTGAGATCATAGAAAAGCTACAGAATAGATTTTTGAATTGCAGGTTTGGTATTATGTGAATGAAAGAGACAAAAACCAAATTCCTAGAAAAGATGTGGGGTGGCTAGCAGGACAACTTACTGAATATCCAGTATACCTAGGCAACTTGAATACACGCACACACACATGCATATGCACACACGCGCACACACACACACACACACATACACACATGGATTATGACCTAAAACAGTGCATGTATGTAACACAGTTGGAGTACAGTCAATATGAAGTTTTCAATTTAGATTCTATGAACTGTTCTCAGATTCATAATGCAAGAGGGGATATCTATGTCAAAGACATACTGTATTTTTTATGATAATAAAGCAAAGGCCATCAGAATTGAGAATTCTTACCCTAGCGTTGAACGAACAATGCTATTTCTACAAATGGTCAACATTATGAATACATTTAATGTCGCTGCTTTCCAATCTGCTTAATAACTGCTCTCAATTTGGTCACTACTTATGTTTAAAAAGTACAGAGGGCCACTTAAACTGAAACAGGAGATACTAATCTGTTCATGATTTATAAGTAAGATATGGTTTCTGAGCCAGAACATTGCAATAATGCTAGAATATTGAAAAGTAGGAAATATACAGCTTACTTTCTGCTGGTTATTCTTCTAGCTAATCAGCAAATTGAAGGACTAAAAGCAAGTGATATTTATTACACTTGCAGCCGTGGCCAGCACTGCTGTGAAGGCAGCCAGAGAACTTCCCGGTTTTCACCCTCTCACTTCTTAGGAAGGCTCACTGTCTCAGCTAAATGTTATGAATTTGGCATCAAATCAAAGATAAATTGCCAGTGAAAGTTTGAGTCAAAACATCAGTCAGTGTGAACTTTATTTCACCAACTACTAACACCCTGCCCACCTCTTCTCTTACCTGCAGCATTAGTAAAAGGCCATAGGGAATGTGTCCTTCTGCTCCCACTAGTATAACAAGGGCCAGCCCAAAGTCTGGGCCTGGGGAAAGGCTAAGCTCCTGCAACAAGCTGGCTCAGCAGTGATGGTGTTCACTGCTTCGACGCCAGTCTTGCACTAAGATGCGGGTGTGGAGACATACCTGAATGGTGAAAGGGGTGAGTTTCTTCTTGTTGATTGTTCTTTCATCAATTGTGTCTGGCACTGACAGGTTGATCATCTTACTGAAAGAAAAACAAGTAAATGAAAGAAAACAGGATTTTGAGTGACAAAGCCCAGTACCACCGAGTTCAAATTCTAGTAATATCATTGAACATATTTGCCACACATTATGTATAGTCAGTGTTTAGATATAAAATCACCCATGTGACTTTGTCTAGATTCAAACTATCTGTGAGAAAATGTCACGTTCCAAAAGACACAGTAATACTTTGAGGTAAGAAATAAGGATCCTTCTTCATTTGCTCACCTAAAAATCTGGGATAGTATCCTTGTTCCTTTAGCATGGCAGGAAGTTCTAGGTGGATGAGCAAAGCAAATGCCCCATGAATACTTCTACTTTCCTAGCTGTACTGAAAACTGTACTCACTATATGAAAGGCTATCGATACACTTCTGAACTTATACAGTGCCTACATTTCAATTTGATACCTCATCAATATCTTCAACTCATCATCCAATTGCTTTTTCCTATCTTTCTCTAATCATTATTCAATCAGAGCTTTATCAGTTCCTCCACTAATACATTTATCAGATATCCAAAGCAAGCAACTATTTGTAGAAAGCTGATTTTATCAAAGTCAGTATAAAAATAAATTCCTTTAGGACCTAAAAATAAATTCCTTTAAGTCACCTTCATCTTCCTTAAAAACTAAAGGGAATAATAGCAAGATAAAAAGTAATGAATATGACTATGATTATTCCCATTTAATGAGAAGAGAAATAGGCATTAATAGTTTTTCATAACAATTGTTAAAGGGCTGGGGAGACTGTTATTTTATTTAATTAATTAATTAATTAATTTATTTATTTATTTATTTTCAGAACTGGGGATTGAACTCAGGCCCTTGTGTTTGCCAAGCAAGCACTTATTCTACTGAGCCATCTCCCCGGCCCTAAGACTGTTATTTTAAAATATATTTCCATAATTTTGTTGTGGCTGTTTATTGTGGATATGTATATTTAAATAAAAGGCACTTTACAACAACTATAGCAAAACAACCTCCTAAAATCATCCTTTGAAAAATATGAAATTAGTAGTGAATTTCTGGGAGATGGTGAAGGAGAGAGGGAGATAGAAACATATATTGTATCTCTTCCCTTGAAAAACCTCAAATCCAAGTACAGAGACTAAATATATGGCTTTGAAAAACTATGTAACAGTCCAAAGCAGAGCATGATGATACTGTAGTTCCCAAAGTATTACAAATAGCATGTCCTCTAAGAATTTCATAGAGGAAGAGATCACTTGAAGAGGAGATAGGCCAGAAAATGTCACGGTGAATGGATCTGCATAGAAATAAAGGGTGGAGAAGGACTTTCTTTTTTCTTTTTTCATAATTTTATTGAGAGACAAATAGCAATGAGACAGTTTCAAACCAAACTGGTAGGACAGTTTCAATAATTAACACACTGCATACATTCTTCTTAGTGGTTAATTGCTGTACAAGATACAGACTTGAGATCCTATTTACAAACACCATTAGAACAAATCATTCTATTCATTAAGAGAATGTAACTATATATCTATCCTAACCACTTTGGAGAAGGCCTTTCTTGAAAAGGAAAATAAAAGGCAAAGCCAGAGCAGCAGAGTACATGGAGATGGGAGTTGTTTTTGTCAGAGCCCTCATTCATGTCATGGTCCTCTCAGAACCCTGGTCTGGGGCCCAGGGAAAACAATTCAATCCAAGGAAGTGGAAGAAAGACCATGGGTACCTCAGGTGTGAGCCTAATAGAGCAGGACTTGATCCTAAGCATTTTATTTCATGTTTAGCAGTGGAAGCTTTTAAAAATAAAATCTCATGATAAGCTCTAATAAATGAAATACCAAACACAAAACTGCTCTGATTGAAGCAGAAGAAAGAGACTCAACATCTTGTTCCCCACTTTTCCCTTCAACCCCTGAGCTCACTGCAGGCTAAGTGCCTCCATGATCACCTCTCTGATGTGACAGTCTGTGAATGCAAGAGCTAGAGAAATAGTTTTAAAGACACTAACCCAAAATGACCACTACTGTTTGGAAGCCTTCTGTGGAGAGAATACATTGCCCCTTTCCAGGTGCCCTCCCTATTTCCTTGTACATTTCTGTGTGCTACTCAAAAGTCTGTTTGCTTCAGCTTGGCTTGTATTGGATTGCTTCAGGTACCCTATTGCTATTCTCAAGGCTATTTACTACCATGGTAGAGTGTGCTCAGATGGAGCAGAGCAGCCCATATTCCAAAAATAACTGCTTCTAGCCTAGTGTGGCAGGGCACACCTGCAATCCCAGCACTCCAGAGACTGAGGAGGGAGGACTGCAAGGTTGAGCCCAATCTGGGCAACTGAATGAGACACTGACTCAAAATTTAAAGATATCAGTGATAGATGACTCAGAACAAGGCTCTACCATCAGTCTCTACTGCCACAAAAACAAATGACCACAACAATAATTATTTCTGGCTGCATTACCAGATGTCTATGTATCCACTCATCTCTATACTGTATGCCCCTCCTCTCCATCCAAACATAGTAGTTTTATATTTTTCATTATAAAATGCTTCTGAGACTGGTTTGCTATTTGGTCCTGAAACCAAAAGAAAGTCCACAAAAGTATTCCTAGTAGAGCTGAGCACCAAAGAAAGTGGGCCTGGGAGGCATACAGGGAATTGTTGACATTGCACAAAATGAGCAATTCTTTGGAAAACAAGAAGGAAGTTTTATTTACCAAAGAACAATGCCATCTCCAACCGCATTAAAGAGGTCGTCGGTGTTTGGATTCATTGGGATGACATGCTGACAATCAGGATCATTTTCAAGGGCTTTGTTTATCCAGTTGACAAAGGCATACTTTTCTTCCTCTGCAAGTAAATGATTAAAGTGACTTATTTGCAAGGTGAAAATGAGATAGAAACAACATTATTCACCAGGACCTCAGATTCTCAAGCTCAGCAGAGACATTACAAGGTTACCCAGCCCATTATCGTTCTGCCTCATTATTTATTGGCATTTAAGCATCTAGGATCACTTGGGGAAAAGTCTCTTATAATTTTCTGAAATTGAATTAAAGAGCAAGATTCAAGTGCCTCTCCTTATATTCTGTGTCATGTTCACCTTGATAAACTCATCAAAACTGACCCTCGCATCTTCATCCAGATTGCCTATAGCTTATATTCTTTACAAGTCATAAAAATGTACCAAGAAGATTAGAATAAAACAATAAGAAAACATATGGGTTATACTTGGAAGCAAATAAACATTTTTATTATATTTTCATATTGTAGAAACAATAGAAATATTCATGTAATAACTTAAATATAAATGTGGCCTAATGCTTATAAAATGAAACTTGGGGTTCTGCCCATAACCCTGCTGATTTAAATTTTGCATTCCCATGGACAATCCCTACAATATCTGTAGGCTTCTTTACACAGATATAATGAACCTGCTGTGAAATGCAGTATTTGTGGTATTTTTCTTTCCTATCAGTAAAGCTGCCACAGGTTTCTCTTAAAGTTTTAGTAAAATTTCTAATTATGCCTTACTTCCCAGCACAGAATTTTCTGAATTGTGTGTCGCTGAAAACAAGTGTCTGTTGGAGGAATTCTGACTCACAAAAGCTTGGGAAGCACTGTGTAGCAAAGAGAGTAAGCTTTGTCTTAGCAACTATAGGCAACATTCAATCACAAATTGATTAACTACTGTTTTAAAGAACTCAGTTTGAGAAATGTTGGATAACTGTACTGGTTGGGCTATTAAAAGCTTCCATTAAGGATGCTGGATGGGAGCCTCCAGAATAAATGCACCACTTTCTTGTGAATCAATGAAAATACAGTTTTTTGATTAGTCAGTAGGCATTTAAAAAATCATTATGTAGAAGACAAAAGAAGTAGCTAATTTTATCCATACAATTTACAAAAGGATTGTTGCAGCATTTAAGGTATTTTTAAAAATGTTTATGATATCATTTAGTTTGGACCCCAGTGGAGCTAAGGCTGCTCTCTCCTATATCGCTAGAAATGGCCCACTTACAGGAAGACAGCTGGTAGGCCACAATCATGCTCTTTTATGTTTGCTTTAATCCTTTAGGTTTGAGTCCCAGGTTAAAAATTCGTAGCCCTGGAAGGTCTGAATCTTTTACCCTCAAATCTCTCAGTCCCCAATACCACCTTTACCACCTTCCCCACCCATTAGTGCAGCTTACCTGAGTAGGAATGTTGGGTGCCAACACTAGACTGCTCGGAGGTTCCACCAATTGCACAAATGCCCTCCTTCTTATTGATTGCTTTTCTAAACGTCTTGGCAACATCTGTGCTTTTCAGGCCATGGAAGACCTACAAAAATATTATGTAGTTTTAGAAACTGAGCAACAGTCGAGAAAAATCACACAAGAGTATATAATGATGAAACAAGGAGGGTAGTGATGTCTCCTCATTTCTTGAAACTTAGATGCAAGTTTCAAGTGCACCTCCTTGTGTTCTGTATCATAGTCACCTTGATAAACTCATCAAAGCTGATCTTCCCATCTTTGTCTAGATCACCTGTAGCCATCAGATTTTCTACAATCTCTCTGACTCTGTACCCAGGCAGAGGCAAGCAGGCAGCCTTGAACAAGTCATTCAACTCATTACAGCTGATGTAGCCGTTGCCATCCGTATCTGTAATGCAGAAGCAAAGTGAGGCATCAGAGCAATCCAGAGACAGCATTTAGAGAGGTCAGAGGAGGCTGGATGGCAGGGGAAGAGTAGGGGGAGCGATGGTTTAAGGGTTGAGGCCTGACCCTCTGAAAGGGTCAAAAATCTCTGGAGAGGCCTGTAGCTACTTGATACAGGCCTTAGCACCACTCTAACATCTATAGTAAAAGAATCATAATTTCAAAACAGGCGTTTTGGCAATTGAATCTGAGAGAATACTTATAGAAACTCATCACACAGACACAGTAACAAAGGGTAAAAGAACACTTGTCATAGTATTAAGGGAAAAGAATGGAAGTGGACAGTGTGCTGCGAAAAGCCTACGGGTGGCACAGAGTCCATAGTCTAGGTTTTGATTAAGGAGTTTTCTCAGAGCCAACTTCCTCTCAGCTCCCTCGTCCCATCCCTCCGTTCTCTTGTCACTGTTGCTATTTTGCTCTGCGACCATTCAATTGAATCCATCAGTAGAGGGGAGATGGGTGCAGCCGAGGTACCAGGTCTACTCACCAACTTTGGCAAATGCTTCCCTGAGCTCCATCATTTCCTCATCGGACACTGATCCTCTGGCCATTTTGTACTGCTTTGTGTAACAGATCTTGGAAGGAAAAGAACACAGGGATGACTTTTGTGCATCTTAATTCTAAAAAATATCATGTTTACAATCAATGCTGTTTATAAAATGAAGAAACGTTCCTCTGTATTCCGCATGACTTGCAGCTGCCATAAGTCAGAGGTAGGCTTTCCTGAGCTCCACAGGTAACAGTCTCCAAGGACAGTGCTCAACAACTTATCCTCTCCCTGGATCCACAGACTGCTCCTCACATCAAGCAGGAGAGCTGATTTTCCACTCTTTACCTGGGCTGATATTGTGATTCCTTTGACTATGAGAACATACTGAAAACAATGCCTACAAGAAGAAACTTGCGCTTCCTTTCTTCTGGAGTGCTCATTCTTGGGATACGCCTCCTTGGGACCCAACTACCATGAAATGAGAGAGATGTTCAAGCCACATAAAGCCATGGTGAAGGAGAAATGGACGCTCTGGCTACCAGTGCATGCTGAGCACCTAGCTGACAGGCAGCACTAACTGTCAGCCGCTTGACTAGGTCATTTGGAACTTCCTGGCCCATCTGAGTACCCAGATGACTACAGACCCAGCTGGTATCACAAAGAACAGGAGAAAGAATTGCCCAGATAACACTTCTAAATTGTGTGAGTAGTTTATCACGTAGCAATAAACAACGAAAACATAAATTCTTTTTTAGAGATATCTCCATAACCATGTTTTAAAATAATATTTTGGACCAAACCAACAGGTATATTTTATAAATTCAAAAGGAGTCAATGAAAATTCTATGCAGTAATGGAGGAAAGGAAGCTGATTCTCTAAAATTTTCTATATGGAAGACTGAGGTACTTTGTAGTTGTTTTGTTCTCTGTCTTGCAGAGAAATTTGCTAGTTTGAACAATTTCCTGTTCCCTGTGCATTCCTGCTGCCCTCTAGTGTGAAGGAGGAGAATCACATAGCAAATGGATTACATTCTCCAAACGCTTAGCTAATCCACACATACCAGCATAGTTCAAATGGAGTTCCACCGCAATTTGCCTGATTTCCTGGTAGAGAGTTTATAAATGGAACAGGTGTGTGGAAGATGGAGTATTTCTAAGTATAATTACATTTTGGACATGCTAGTAAAATATCCTACTTATAAAAGTAGGTCTGGGGAGATGACTCAGTAGAATAAGCACTTGCCTGGCAAACACAAGGGCCTGAGTTTAATCCCTGGTTCTGCCAAAATAAATAAATAAATAAATAAATAAATAAATAAATAAATAAAAATAAATAAGTAGTTGCAGAATCTCTAAACATTGGCCAAAGAAAACAATGGTTGTTCATTTTTAAAAAATAAGGTTATTTTTTAAATCGTAAGAAAATCAAATAATTCCCTAAACTGAAAAGGCCACAGATCCTGTCCCTACTACTGAGTTCTGAGTCTCAGCTTATTGGTAGCTGGTATTTTCCAGGCCTGTATTGACAGGGAAATGACCTCACTCGAGCTTCTTGAAGTATGAATACAAAGACCATCTGCAGGAGTTGACTGTACAACACAGTGCTGCAGAATGCACAGGAGGAAGATTGTTCTGTATGTAAGCATGGGAGTGGGAACAGTCTTTCTGAGGGGCTTTGTCTCTGATTAAAGACACAGTGAGGAGGAGGTGGCCTGCGCAGAGGGAGATGCTCACGGGCCCTGATCATTTCTGGAGGTGTAACGCCACCCCGTCAGCATCATGACTCAGTTCACTAACACCCACTTATGTGACCTGCGAGGCTCTAGGGGTATCTGCATCTGGGCATCACACCACAAGGGAGCTTTGCAATGTGCCCCACTTTTCCTGCAACTTGACTCTGTGGTTAAAGTAACACTGGATAGTCAGGATCCCAGTTCCTAGATCTGCCTCAGTAATTTGGGCACATTCTCAGTGGGAAACAATATCGCTTTCAAAGTTATCAAAAACCTATAGGTAACCTGAAACGTATCAGCTAGAACAACATGAATTTGCAATCTTTAGCTTTAGACTTCAATGACCAAAGAAATAAAATAAACACAATTCCAAAGAAAAAAAATCCCCATAGATTTTTAAAGCACTGTGATCTCTAAATGCCACCATCATATCCAAAACCACTATGACATTAAAATATCCAAAGAAAAAAGTTTTGCTTTCCCTAATGTCACCTTTATTTTACAAAGTAGACCCTATAAAAAGGGAATCTAACTTTGAGAAAAAGTCTAACTTGTACATAGAGACCAACTCTAAAAAATACTTAAAATATGATTATTTTAGAGGAATAAAAATTATAAAGAGCTTCAAACAGAGATGGCCATTTAAGGAAACTCTTATGAATCCTTTTACTAAGTTAAAATCTCTACATTGTCTTTTTCTTTTCTGGCAAGTACACTGATTCTCCCAAGGGCTGCTTTAGGGTACAGAATTCTTACCTCCTCAGTCACTGATGCAAAGGCTAGGGAAGGAGGCAGGGGAGGGCCCTTCAAGCTGAAGTAATGGCTATCCTCTGATACAAGCTGGGACCATGTCAATGCTCAGGGGAAGCCAATAGGCCAGATTACTACAAATCTGATCATCTTGACATAGCTCTGGAAGCTTCTGTGCTTTGTCCACTCATTTGAAGGGTCTTGAAGCTATGCAGAGCCAGGAAACAACTCTGTCTAGAAAGTTGCCAAAACCAGGCAGAGCATGAGTGCATCTCAGTGTTTTGGCACGTCTATCCAGCCTGTGCTATAAACTATGATACTTCTGGTACTAACATCTTGAAAATCCATAGCTACTATGCATGTGACATCATACCCCAAGGACTTTAAAATCTTTACTTCCCTGATAAAAGCTCAGATTATTTTAAATATATCTTTTCCAAACAGTTGAATTATTATGGTTTAGCACGTTATTTACTACTGAATTATCACATCAATATCACATGTTATTCATTCATTTTTCACTCTGCTAAGCTATCAGCAGAGCACTAACCTCTGGCTGCTACAGTGGGGGGTACAAGCATTGGGGACACAAAGACTGGGTCTTCTGAAGCCCACAGTTTAATGCCAAGCTTCAGATGCCACACATAGATTATGATCACCTTATTAGAAATGGTTAACCCAATGGAAAATGTTCTCAAAGTAAAAATAATGAACATGCAAAAATATTAAACATAGAGCGTAGAGGACAGAAAAGGGCTAGATAAAAGATGTGATCATAGAAACTTACCAAAAAATAAAATATTGAATGTGTAAGTCCCAAACAGCCCATGCAATATAGATACTGAATTAACACACTTGAAGATCTCCTCAGGAACCCAAGCTAGCATAGGCAGGGAGTGGAGGAAAATGCCCCACTGGGCAGTGAAGAGACTGAGCTTGCTATCTGCTGGTGTAGACTCAGAGTCTCTCCTGTCCTCTGGGCCTCAGTTTCCTCACCCTTAAATCAAGAGCTGAAGATCCTTCCATGATAAAAGATCCCAAGTCCTATGCACTAGCTGGCAAATACATGTACAAACTAGAACCAGATCAGGGCGCATTGCAAATGAGCCAAGAAATAGCTGCTGTCACTCATTACAGTAGGGCTGTGTCCAGAGGGGGATGTCTCCTGTGAAGTATGGGGGGCACACTTCCCCAGCCTACCCACAGGGCCTTCAGGCTCTTTTCTTGCTCTTACCTCAGCAGCAGGCAAGACTTTGTCCAGAGCTATCTCCTTTCTGACCCCAGGCAGATGCCTAGTTCTCAGGTGCTCAGCTGAGGAGGGAAGTTACCAGAGCAGCATGTGGGACCTGTTTTCTGGGACGTCACCACACATGGTTTAAGGCACGCTGACCCAGTTCACTCCTGGTTTCTAGGCAAGAGTGTATGCCAACTGTCCCAGAAAGTTATCCACTGTTTGCTTGGAAATATCCAAATAAGGACATTCTACAACCTCTCCAGAGACTCGCATCCCTACCTTGTAACCTAAATATTTTCAGGTATGGTTAAATTTCCCTTTTTCTTGGACAATCCCAGAGGGACTTCAAGGAGCTGTCTGGTTCATTCAAATATCATCGCCTGTCCTGGGAATGGCCAGCAGGTCTGTTTTTATTCTTTTAATCTGTTTTCCTGGGACATTGTTAGTTTTCTTGGATAACTCTACTATATGATTCAGTAATCCCACTGACTGGCATATATTCAAAGGAAATGAAATAAATGTATGGAGGAGACATCTGCACTCCCAAGTCCACTGTGGTACTATTCATGATGGCCAGAAAGAGTGACAACTTTAGTGAAGGGAAAGAGAAAGTGTGTTTGGTATAAATACAACGGGATACTAGTCAGCCTTTTTAAAAAATAAGTCCTATCATCTTCCAGAACACAGATAAGCCTGCAGAACATTGTGGTAAGTGAAGTAAGTCAGGCACAGAAAGACAGACACCACATGATTTCCCTTATTTGTGGTATCTAAAACGTGAATCTGTAGAAGTTGAGTGGTTGGGAGAGTGGGACAGTCAATAGATGCATGGTTAAAATTAGAAGAAATAAGTTCAAGAGGTCTATCACACAGCATAGTGACTGTAAATGATTTACTGTTCTCTCTCTCTCTTTCTCTCTCTCTCTCTCTCTCTCTCTCTCTCTCTCTCTCTCTCTCTTTTTCTCTCTCTCTCTCACACACACACACACACACACACACACACACACCAGAGTGGGGACTAGACACAGGACCTCATATTAAACAACATTCTCAGACATTATTTTTTGAGATGGAGTCTCCCTAAGGTGCTCAGGTTGGGCTCTACTTGTACAATTCTGCCTCCCAGAGTTTCAGGATTTAGGCATATATTAAAAAATGTTAAGAGTTGATATGAAGTGCTCTCACCATAAAAATAATAATGTAAGGTAATGCATTCATTAATTAGCTGGAATTAAACATTTTACAGTATATATTTTGAAATGTGTTGTATATGATAAACATATGCAATTTTATATGCTGATATTAAAAATCAATACATTTGGAGAATAAAATACTCAGAACATGACAACAAAATCTATAATAGCAACT